TCCACCTAGTATACAAGTTCCTTTTTATTAACCAATTCACCTACCTCTTTCACCGTACCACATCAGTGTCCCCTAAGGTGGAGTCATTAATAAGAATAGAAGCTAAGGAAGGGGAAGTATTTATTTATGTCTTCCCCTTATATTTGTGAGTAAAAAAATGGAGGAATGAAATTGAGGATTTTAGAAAATTTTAACTTCTAAATAGGGAAAGGGAACCTTTCATTTTCTTTTCCTTCATTATCTTCTCCTCCAAACTCCCAAATACATCTAGCTCTGAACAACAACTCCTCTAGGTGTATGACCCTAATACACGGTATTCACAAAGCTATATTGCTACTGCATTGCCACTGCTACCCTCTTCTATTGATATTAACTAAAAATTCGTAACAGCTACCCATTGACACAAATTATCACCCCAAATATTCATGGGAACATGACGTGGAATGTGGCTGTTAACTTCCTTGTCTGTGTTCTCATCTTTACTATGGCGTCATTTGTCCATCTTCAAAATAGGAAAACAATATGGGAAAAAAATTATTACTTTAATAAATAATTACAAATATATAGTTGTTTTGAAACTATTTAAAGATCTATTATACTTATTCACGTCCAAATTAGGTGTGACCGCCTAAGTTAGGCGTGACTCCCAAAGCATTCACGTCTAATTTAGGCGTGACTCATCTGGTGTTGACACGTGGCAAAAAAAAGTCAACTTACGAACCGTAAAATTTTGAAAAACCATAACTTTTGACTTGGGTATTCGAATCAAGTATTTTTTTTTTATTCCACATAACTTTTCGAGATCTACGCAATGACATCTCATTTGATATATCTTATCTCTCACAAACACAATTCAAATTTACAATAATGATATTATAAGAATGTTTAAACCCAGAAACCTCTGAGTTTTGAGTTTGTGATTTAATATAAAATAATAAATGAAGATTTGATTTGTGATTTAAATTAAAAAAAATTATAATTTTAATTTTTAATATAAAAAATAAATAAAGATTTGATTTGTGATTTAAACTCAAAAATCAATTTGAAAAATCTATATTAGTAAATGAAATAAAGAAATAAATATTCTAAATCTCTAAAGAAGAAGGATTTTATTTTTAAAAACCATTCATAAGCTTCCAACGAATCCAGCCATAAAGACTCGGCTATTGTTTTGAATCAAAATGATGTAACTTATGATACGGTTCGATAAAATTCTTAAAAAAGTTATATATTTTTAAATTATTTTTTATTATATTTTTGTATCTTATGATTCGATATGATTCACGATATGAAAAATCAGCCAAACGATACATGATACGTATTGCAATTCAATAACCTTGTACATTATTATTTCTCAAACACTTGGTAGAAGTATATTTTTTAATATGACATTAAGTATCCTGCGAAAGACAGCCTTATCGGTGTAGACTCGTCGTTCGTCACAACACTGATCCGTATCAATCTTGAACACAGAACCAGGATTTATCTGTGTCATGTAGTTCAGCCAACCAGGTAAGATGGCATATGATTTTTCCCAGTCGCCAAACAACTTCACAATGGCCTTCATTTTAGCCTTCCAAGCCTTCCTATAAGATATGTTGTATCCATACAAACTTTGTACCATCTCCTGAATAAGAACTGGTTTCGTGGATGGATCTTCTTTTAACATACCTACACAAAATTCGAAGTCAACACAATCAATAAATATACCGAAAAATTAAACCATAAACAAAAATGAATGTAATACATACTTATAATGGCTGCACAGATTACATCAGAATCCAGCTGTCTATGGTCCCGAGTAAGGCCTTGGTTTAGGCAGGTGTGTTTTTTACCCCACTTACTAACAACCCAACTATTTCCATTCTTGGGCAACATAGCCCGCACGTACCAGGGACAACCATCATTATGGTGTCGACACTTCATCACAAATCTATGGTCATCACTTTTTGCCACCACAGCAGTACGATGAGACTTCATACAATATAATTTGACAGCATGTTGCATTTCAGATTTAGTTCGAAACTCCTGGTACAAATATAATGGATCTCCTAAATGCCAGCCACCGTGGATGTCATCGTCGCCATACAATATCTCCGTCTCATCATTAGGGTGAGCCCAATTAATGAACGAATAGTGTGGGCTGTCGTTCCAAAGTGGCTCAATCTCAGACCCTACGTCCAAATTTAAACTTATCCGTCAGTACGAAAGAAAACACAAATATATATATATATATGCAAAATTAAAACTTTATATTACAATCTTACCACTGCTAACAGAGTCAACACGGAGCGGTGGCATAACCTGGGAACTCAAGTTTCCTGAACTAGTATCAGCGTCAAAATTCCCCTCTACGTCCATATCTGAGGTGTCACCCAGCGGAATAACACTCTCGGGTTCACCATCGTCTTCACTGTCCATATCCTCGTCATGCCCATCCTCATCCTCGTCTATTTCCCTCAGTGGTATCTGACTTAAGACAGGTGCAGGTGCAGATAAACCGACCACTCTGTCTTCTTGACTTTGACTTCTTCCATGCACAGGTGCAGATGAAGATTGACCACAGTCTATTTCAACATATATCTCAATAAAGTTTTGAAATTTTCGGTCCACAATTGCATCTATGACACAATCCACATCTTCATCGTCACATATATCATTACCAATGTAGAATATAGCATCCTTACCAACTGTAGACTCTACCCTGGCGATCATCCGTTGAACGCCATGGCTCCCGTGTAGCCCCAATTTTTGGTTAATCCTCCCCTTCAACTCATTGTACGTAGTGCCCCGTTTGATTTTCAACATTTTCGTTTTTCCTTCAAATTGAACATCGTTGGGGCCTTCATAATGCTTTCCATCATAGTAAATCATGGTAACATACATGTTTGGACTTGAGCTCATCTTTCACACGAATTTTGGGGGTAGGAATCAGATTTTAGGGGTTAGGGTTCGGATTTGGGGGAAACAATTGAGAAATAAAGGAAAATGACAATGATTTCACAATTACTATGTCTTAGAGGTGGTGGGATGAAATGGAAGGGTGATTGGAAGGTTCCCAGCTGACAAACAAGAGAAAGAGACCAAGAGAGAAGTTTTGATTTCGAATATTTTGAAAATGAGCCCAAGAGAGGTCTGGATATAGGGTTTTTCGCGATCTTTAGTCGACTAAATAATGTGCTTAGTCGACTAAAAGTGCAAACAATTTAGTCGATTAAGATGAGTTTTTAGTCGACTAAAATTCGCATTTCATAATTTCTGAGTTTAGCCCATTTAGTCGATTAAAAGTGCAACATAATCGACTAAATGGGGGCAGGATGGTGGATAGTTCTGGGGGAGGGGCAAATTGGTTATTAATTATTTAATTAGGGGAAAAAGGGTCAAAAACCCTATTTATAAATGTACTAATCCATTTTAGTGCCATCTTATAGTACCATTATTTCAAATTTGAACTGTGTTTCTGAGAGATAAAATATATCAAATGAGATGTCATTGCGTAGATCTTGAAAAGTTATGTGGAATCAAAACAAGAATTACATGATTCGGATGCCCGAGTCAAAAGTTATAGCCTTATGAAGTTTTACGATTAAAATGTTAACTTTTTGTGCCATGTGTCAACATCTGATGAGTCACGCCTAATTTAGGAATGAATGGTCATATCCAATTTGAACGTAAATGAGTGCAACTGCAATATATTCATATGTGTATCCAATTGAATTAAAAAAAGTTTCTAATAAAAAAAATTAAAAAAAACGCATGTGTACAGACAACTTTTTTATTATTCTTCGGAGTCATGGGAAAAATAAAAAGAGAAAAAATAAGCTAAGATTAAATCTTGTAAGACCGGTCACACATGATATGGATCATGCAGTAAAATCCCTAGGGCCTGTTTGGTGTGACGTATAAGGTATGATAGTATAAGCTTATACTATACGTTATGACATTTTCAGTTGTATGGTGTGACCATCGTATAGTATAAGTTTATACAGCATAATCTCTTAATACATCAAAACGATGTATAACTTAATCCGGCCTAAGGGTGAGGGATAAGGCCTGATAAGATATTGATGTATTAACATCGTTGACCAATGTAATTCTCAAAAATTAATATATTATTTTAATATTAATCTATTAAAATAAAAATTAATTTTTCAATATATTAATTTTTAAAATATTGAATATTTTTATTTTTGTAAAAATTAATTTATATTTTGAACACACTGATCAATAAATTTTTATAAAAATTAATATCATATGACATTTTTTGAAGAATTATATAAATTCTTTATTAAAGTTTTTTTTATTAAAAATATTTATTTTTATCATATATAGTATTATACAGTGCATTATCAAATACTACATGATATTATCTTATACAATATATTATTTTATACAATATCGTGTCAAACGCTGGATAGTATTAAAATTCAATTAGGTCTTATACTATACTATGTACCAAACATGCCCCTAATCTAATTTTCTTAGTCACAACTTTTTTGTAGTTTATGCTAAATAAATTCGTACCAAAATTATTATAAAATACTTGATAATTTTGCACTAAACTTATTTTCTTTTGGTTTAATAATAACGAAATGAACATATTTGATAGTTGAGTGTTTACAATTTTATTATAAAATACATCACGATCATGACCCATTAATTTAGAAGTTCAATTTAAATGTACGTAAGTTTACAGTATTGTACTACTATTGTATATGTTGTCAAACTCATGTTATCGGATGACAAAAAAAAATTCATTCAGTGAATCTAAATTAAAATGTTAATTTAATTAAAGTGAATTTTGTAGGATCAATTACATGAATTGCAAGCTTCTCGGTCATTCTGCAATCGGTGTGTGATTTTGTGTTACATATATACCAAATACGACGCAACGGCCCTTCACAATCAAAAAGTCCCTCAGTTTCTGATACCCATTTATTGAAAAAGGCTTTTCGAGTTCTCTTTTCTCATTTTCTTCTTCTTCTTTCTTTTTCATCACCATGCATCCAAATGCTATACCTGCTCCGTCACAAGAAGTTCCAAAAGGTGTCTACTTTGATTTGGAACGCGAGATTTGGCTATTGCGTTCTACAATTGCGTACCACGACGAATTTGGGTATTACCCATTTGACAGCATCGAAGCGAGGGAAGATTTCTGCGAGAAATGGGTTAAGATGACCATGGGAGAACACTGTACAGAATCTTTCAATCTGAGAAAGAAATACGAAGAGAGGTTGAAGAAGAAGTATCAAGATTTGACACCACGCGAGCAAGAAGCGTTAGAAACGGGGAACAAGATATGGGTTAGCAGAGATGCCCCTATGCTTGCACCCGATGGTAAAGAGGAGGAGCCTCAAGAACGTAAAGACAACATGCTTTCATCAAAAGCTCATAAAAGTGGTAAAGATAAAGATTATGACAGTGGTGAAGAGGAGAGTGAAGGTGAAGATGCTGATGATGAGGAGGAAGAGGAGGAGCAGCAGGAAAAGGAGGGGTTCGAGGAGCTTTTGGATCGGATCCCGTTATTGAGGAAGTCTTTCAAATATGGTGCAAACATCAACGATGATATGAAGATCCCGGTTATATCAGCTGATGTTGTCAAAGATGGTCTAGCTGCCTTACGGAGTGAAAAATTGGAGAAATGGAATAACAAATGGAAAAAGATGATGGTTAAAGAACTTGAGCTTTTCCTCAAGATGGTCAATATGATCAGGAGGCAGACATTGTTTTTGTTGGCTCAGATGAAGACTGAATAGATGCCCCTGCTGCAATTAGTGTTCCGGTCTTGCATAGTATGTGTTTCTTTGAATTAGTGTTCTGGTTAGTGTTGCCGTCTTGCATTCTGTATGTTTCTTTGAAGTAGTGTTTCTGTTAGTGTTGATACTGTATGTTTCTTTGAAGTAGTGATCCCTTTAGTGTTGCAGTCTTGCATTACTGTATGTTTCTTTCTTGTTTTTTTTTTTCTTCCCCTGTAATGTCATGTTTAGATATATCTCAGTCTTCCCTCTTGTATTCAGAAAACGTTTGATTTTCTCCTCTTGACGAAAAAGGAACTGTTTTCTGTTTCAGATGATGTAACATTCTACTTGATTAGTGATTTTAATAAAAGGACAATAAAATGTCATGTGCGTCTTCTTGACATGAGTTCCACATTTGGATTCAATAGGTAATTACAATACACAAATTCTCACGCGCAAAACTAAGATTATTTCTTCCTCTCAATATTACTGAGCCTCGGTGGCAAGTATTTTCCATTATAAATAAACAGATTCTAAAATGAACCCATTGGCACTTCCAAAAAGCATGTCATTTAGCCAAATACTAATACTATTGTAGTAAGCCATGAGGTAAAAAGTAAAAGATCGTACCCGTATCCACCCTTTTATCTAACCTATGGCTATGGAGATTTCTGAAAATTGAAGTGTATATCTTATTCAAATAAATTGCTGATGTGATCCTATACTTTGGAAAAACAAGTTTTCAGATATATTCCGGGGTAAAACGTGTTAAATTACACCACCACATTACAATGAGCCTAAACTTTGGTAGCATCACAAAATGAACAGTGACACTACACATCATTTTCAAATCTACGCTACACCGGGGTTTTAGATTTAGTTCATTATATTATAACTTGAAACCCCGTAAAACATGCCCAGTAAAGCAAAAATGCATGCAGCATCATCCAGGAATTTATCAACAAATCCTTTACACAACAAGTCAGAATCAAGCTGACTCCAAATGCATTCCAAATCTGTGCAGAAAATTAACATGTAGTCCTGGGAATCAATAACATCTTATTAAGTCCCAACGAAACATTACACGACAGCAACAAATCCCCCATTTAGCATTCCCTTTCCTTTCCTTGAGCCCAATTGGATGCACCAATTCACCATTCTAAAGTCAAAATACAACAAAATATACCCTCGGCATTCCATTCTCAAGTGCTAACACGCTTTCAATCAATAATGCTCAAGCAAACCAAAAAAAATATGCAACGCAAGAATCCCTTAAGAGAATTAGAACCAATTCTCAATTCACAAAGGTAATGGTAAATATAATTGGAAATAACATGAATACGAGTGTCGTCAATGCATCAAATTGAAAGGGGAAATTTAAAAAAAAAAAAAAAAAAATCGAAGATTCTCTTCTCAAAAGGAACAAGCTGAATATCATTATATTAACAGCACTACTGAAAACCTAACTAGAGTTACAGAGCACAAGAATCAAACCCTGTTTGAATCTAAAAACAGAGAGGAAAACAAAAAGGCTAAATTTGGTAGTTGCTCGTGAAAAATAAATAAAAAATTAACGACATCTAAGAGTCATCGTCAGCACCAGCGCCCTTGGAAGAGGTTCCAGCCTTCTTAGGGAGCAACAGATTGTGAATATTAGGCATCACACCACCATTGGCAATAGTCACATCTCCAAGAAGCTTGCTCAATTCTTCGTCGTTCCTAACCGCCAATTGTATATGACGAGGCACAATTCGAGTCTTCTTGTTATCCCTCGCAGCGTTTCCAGCCAACTCCAGAACCTAAACACACCAAATTCCACACAATTAGTTGAAACTCTCATTAAGTTAAAATTCAACTTTCAGAAAACAATTTGTACACTCAATTCGATCAAAATTGCTCGAATACAGAATTATTCGCTAAAATTGGGAAAGTCAAACAAAATCTCAAAACCCTAGATCTAGCGAAAACCACGAAGAGGAAATTGGTAATGAACTGAGGGTGGTCAATGGACGTTACCTCGGCGGCCAGATATTCGAGGACGGCGGCGAGGTATACAGGGGCGCCGGCACCAACGCGCTCGGCGTATTTTCCGGCCTTGAGGAACCGAGCAATACGACCGACGGGGAATTGGAGGCCGGCTTTGCTGCTCCTTGAGGTTGCCTTTTTGGCGGCGCCAGATCCTAGGGTTTTGCCTCGACCCGCCATTGATGAACTATCACCGGTTTAATGTAACGTTAAAGTTCGGAGAGTTAGAGATGAAAAGAGAATTGCCGGCGACAGAGAACGAAGAAGGGAAAGTATGTGAAAATTTTAGCGGTTGCGAGATTTATAGTGGGACGGATAGTAATAGGGCCAATGAAACTGAATGACGCGGATTGACAATTAGTGCCGTTGGATTCTTCCGAGGATTAACGGTTTATATTAGTGTGTGTTGGATAAAATAAAAGGACCACCGAAGGCCGGAATTGACAAAGTGTAAGATCATTTCCTCGATGCTACGGGATGATTTTGGTTGAATTTAAATTAAAGAATAGTTTTTTTGAATTATTTCAAAATTGAGAATATTATATGGATTAACTTATTTCAAAATGTGATTATAATATCTCTCATTTTCTCTCGTACACATGAGGAAGGAGTTATTTCGCACTTTGTGGGATCTACAAGATCAAATAATTTTGATTCGTTCGGTTCGCCCTAAGGAATCTTCTCCTTGTCTTATACATATCTATTTCTCTATTGAGGAGTCATTTTTTTAACTAAATTTTCTTCGTTGCTAATTGTCCCCTCACAACTCTCTCTTGATTCTATGTCTATGTGATCTTCTATTTAAGCTCTAGTTTATTTTACTATAACTTCACTTCATCATTGATATATTCAGACACTTCGCCTTTTGAAGGAAACAATCTCTTTTCCTATCTCGTAGCAAGTTTATTTGTGTTGTTTGTAGAAAAATATGAAGGAAGCCGAACAATCTCCTTAGGGGGGCGTTTGGTTGAGGAGAAATTTTTTGAATACTAGGGAAATGTAATTGATAGGAAAATGGTTGGAAAGTGAGTTTGGTAGGAAAATATAAAAAAAGTTGTTTGGTTGGAAAAAAATTTACTGGGCAAATTAGGTAAGATTTATAAAGTCTATGTTTGGTTTGAGGTAAAATATAGATGGGAAAATAAGTGACAATTACGAAAATATCCCTGTTTTTAAAAAATTTTGAATCAACGTTCACCTTTTGTTTATTTTTTTTACCAACCCCTTTAATATAAAAATTAAGGAAGTTGCTAGAGAAATATAATATAAATATCTTTTACCTAAAAGTTTAATCTTAACAATGTTCCACATTTTCCAAACTTAGAAAGACGCATAACCAGTATCTTGTAAGCATCCATTGACATCAAACACACCCTAATTTTCTTGTCTTCTTGTAAATCATCAAAGCAGCGTATGGTGGACCATAGCTACATAAATATTTGATGAATTGAGTTATAGTCCCCGTAGAAGGCACAACTCCAGAACTCCTTGCCTTAACATCTCATCAAACATCAGAAGCGCATCTGCCACTTTCCGGGCTCTGGGAAAAGCAGTAGGTGTATCAAGATTAGGTTTACAATTATCACTCAACATCCCATTATAATACTTCATACATTCATCAAAATCTCCAACTGATATGAAATTGAAAATCATTGCATTATAGGCAGCAATATCTGGCTGGCAAGTTTTCTCCTTCATATTACAGAAAACCTCAACACCCTCTTCCAATCAACCTGCTCTGCCCAAACCCTCAAGAAAGAAACTAAAAATCGTGCAATCAGGACGAAAAGGCATTAATTTCCATTTCCTCCATAATCCTCTCAATCTCATTCACTCTTCCAAACTTAGACCAACCACTAGAAACAGCATTGTATGTAGTAACATTTAAAAGGTATCTTGCCTTTCATTGAATTAAAAACAGAACTTGCAGTGCGAGCGAATGAAGACTTACCAGGGGGTATCAAAGGGTACATTTGGGATGATATGTTGTGGGCCCATGTGACATAGATGGGTTTCTTCAAAAAACCACCCCCTCCTTTGCTTTTCAAACAATACCGATGCATAGCTAAATGGGGAAATCGGTGGAATGATATGCATTGTGTTTCCCTGGGCATTGAGCAAGATCTCCTTCAACCAAAAGCATGCTTCCCATAATCCTTGATTCATTTGCATGGGGTAATCCAAAAACCCCCCCAACCAAACACCACCTAGAAGATTAGGTCGATCACAATTTTGCAGGATCTTCTTAGAGTGTAACTAAGTTAATCGCTAGAATCTCCAAATCCAAACTCGGTTAACAATCTCCAGAAGTTGTAACTCAATCAGATACTTTACAAAAATTCCTCACTTGGTTAGGCACATTATTGTTGTTATTAGTTAAATGTTAAAATCGATATATGGAGATATTCATTGCTCCTAACATCAAACCTTAAAGAAAGGCCTGTATTGTTCATTATCCAATGCATATTATTATTAGACATTGACCAACTCACCTCATGCTATAACACATGAAGTTGATCAACAAGTAATTCAGCGTACGTGTATCCTAAACCAAAATACGAGCATAATATTGACCAATCAAAATTCCTTTCCATATCTCAGTAACGTGACTATGTAGACTACCGAGCTGGGAGCTTATGTTCTGGATAAGTATACTAGCCCACCTTGGGGCCCATCCATTCGCATTCATCAGAGGACAAAAGTTCTCTCTGCATCATGTTTTCCCATAAGTCCCACGCTTACACACCATTTCCACATGGGGGGTAACGCAAGCTCACCTTGGAGTGGGTCGTACTGCGAAAATAGTTCTGGAGGCACACCTTCACCACCATCTCCCATATTTCTTTTTTTTTGGAGAGTATCCCCTTGGTAATCTCATAGGTTCCCTATAGACTCATCTAAACTTCGGGTCGGATCCAGGAATAAGGCTTCAAAACCTCTCCCAGAGATAGTACTTGGGAGGATTTAACACATTTTTTCATCCCCCTCCTGCTCAGCTCCCAAGTGCCAACTAAGCTACTATCATTTGTTTTTTTTTTTGGGACTAAAAAGTTGTTGTTCACAATGCTGATATTTTTTTGAGGCAGTGATTCAGCGATGAAAGAATTATAAGGCAGAGGTGAGATGTGGATCTCTGATGCAATAGTGGTTGTGCCAGATAATGGTAGCAGCGGGGAGTAATTTCCTATGTGGGTGTTATTGATATTCATGATGACACTTGTACCCATGGGATTCTTTGCACCAATCTGATTAATTCCTCACTTCTGGTTATTGTTGAGCAAATCCAAGACAATTTCTCCCCATTGATTTGGACAAAAATAGAACAAACCCAATAGCTTTAATCGAACCCGTACAATAACGGTTGAATTAACATCAAAATTCTCGTATAAAGGGACCTTGTAGTTATAATCTACTATGAGAAGAATTTCATATGGTAACTCAACTCTTCCCACCAATTAGAACTAAGAGATTGAGTGGAAGAAAATTTGAGTTTGCCTCAGACTTGATCCAAAATTAACTTCTCACCTCCCTTATTTCTCAACCTTCGTCTAAGACCATACACCTTTGATTTTACGCTAAGCTCAAGTATTCCATAGTCCATGCTTGTGCCTCACTAAATCTCAGTATATTAAGTCCTACATCCCTATATGAGTTAACACCTCTTCTTCACAACCAATTAAGTTTATATAGCAATTATTACATTTTGCCCAAGTAAATATAGCAGTATCAATTATTCAAGATATATGGATTGATTGATGTATTGTTCACTCCCATCATTATGATTGATTAATGTTGTCTTCATTCCCATGTATACAAAGACTTGGTGGTGAATAATATTCTCAAATTAATTAATAAGGTGACAAGGTGAATAATAAGATGCATTTAGTATACCATAATGCACTTAACAATATTGTTGTTGGTGTCTAAAGAGAAAGAGAGGAAAGCTCTGTAGACCGAAAAAATTGACCAACTGGAAAGAAGTGCGAAAAAACCTAAGGAAACGATGAAAGATAATTGTCCCATTAATATCATGTCTGAGAAGATTGTTCCTGTGGAGATTGCTTCTGTGGGAGGAGTATACTATACATGTGGAGAAGTTTGATGCCTCAATGGATGTAACCATGAAGTCCTTACATGAACGTAAACTTGTCTCTTATAAGCATAAAATTCTTTCTTTCAATGGCTAAGCTTATGAGTCCGACTTGGAGGAGGAAGATTGGATGGAATGACAAAGAAAGGAAGAACAGAAAGATGGTATAGAGGAACCCGAGGGATCAGATGATCCCCAATGTCCTATCTACCAATTTTCGAAAAATCAACATAAGGAGGATTGTGAGAAATGGAGGAGTGCACTAATCATTAAGTTATTAGGGAAAAAGATGGCAAATAGTTTCCTTATGGCTCGTCTGGATAAGATGTGGAATCTTGTTAGTTCTTTCGAACAGTATGGCCTTGACAATGGCTATATTCTGCTGAAGTTTTCTTAAGCCAGGGACTATCATCATGTCTTACATTCTAGTGAAGTTTGTGATACATTGATAGGAATACAAGAAGCTTCATTTGGGGGTCCTTAAGTGGCTCTAGGAAAATGCATCTTGTTAAATGGGAACAAGTTTGTTTATCCAAAGCTTCGGATGCCCTCGACTTCATATCTTCCAGGTTGGTTAATAAAGCCCCGCTCATGAAGGTTGGTGACCGTATACTCGTGGAAAAAAGATGATCTCTGGAGCAAAGTACTTAAAACCAAATACAAGGTAAAAGATAACCCTATTCTTAAGATTGGAATAGGTGGAAACATTTCCATGTCTTGGTTTAAGGTTAGAAGAGGATCTAGGATCCTAATTAGGAATAGTAGAGGAACCAAATTTTGGACCAAAAAATGGGTTCCTAAAGTGGATAGTTTACTTGTTGTAGCAATAAACTAAATTCAAGTTGAGCAACTTGACTAGATGGTTGGGACACGGTCACTAGGGAAGGAGCTTGGAGTTGGCCTTTATTCCAACATTTGTTTTCCCCTGAAATTTTCATTATTATTGTTCTTATGGTTCCTCCTGACTCTGACGGAGAAGATGATCGAGTTGCTTAGGAGCTCTCCAATGATGGGGTATTTTCGGTTGCATCTGCATTCTCTGTGTTGGTTCAAAATATTGTCACCCCTCTAATCTATTGGAGCATTCCCTAGGGTTGGAAAGGCCTACTAGGATTCAATCTTTTATATGGCTTTTGTTGGGCGAATAATCTTTTAACGAATGTTGTGAGTGCTACA